CACAATCATGTGCTGATCCTGGTTGTGTTCAATCAATATCTGGAAACAATTTTGCACCTCCTGCAATGCTGCTGTTCGCAAAGACAAGAAAGTTATCTGTTGAGCGTTCTGACCCTAGAAAGTATGTCTATCTCTCTCTCCTATATTCATGAAAAAAGCTAAATAGTTACTTATGTGGAGCTATCTCTTCCAAGTAAAATGTTTTGCCTATTTCATCAAAGTCAAATTTATTGCCTAGTTGAACTGTCTAAAGCTGCATGAAGTTTTACCTGGCCATGAGCTACCAGTCTAAGGCTGTGTGTGTTAAGATCCATCATCTGTTGCTTAGACACATGGCTACTCGTTCTTAATCTATCATGTGAACTTAGTTAACAACAATTCAGGTAGGGCTGTCCACCCTCCTGAAACCTAAACCAGCTGAAGCAACTGAGTTGAATGGACCTGGAATTGGCATTTTCAACTGGTTTTGCTTTGGTTCGGTTCCTAATTTTCTGAAACCAAGAGGCTCGGTTCAGGCATCAGGTTATGTAGTCTAAAACTCGATAGAACCAACTTGAACGGATGTGTATACATCTGTTTATGTTATGTGAAATATAGAAGGTTGTGCTGCTTTTGCATGCATGGGGCCTTAGTTGATGGATGTTAACTGTTGCTCCCAAGCTGCTCTAATGTTAACTTGTCAAATCTACACACATACGCACACAAATGAAACCATTCATGTGTTGACATGCTGTGTTTTGCCCTGCCAATCGATCAGCACTATTCATACTTTTACGTTAAATATGTTCACTGTGTTCTTTAAGCAAGTACTATGATATTTTTCATATATCCTTTTGCACGTGGATTATAATTCTTGCATGTTGCCCACATATGAATATTTTACATTTTCAGCTGTGCACTCCTTCGGAAGCGACAGTTCTTTCACTCACATAGAGCCCAGGTGACAATTACTTATGTTATGAATGATTTTGTGTTATCACCGAACACCAATTATGTTTTTTTTTTTGTTTTGTTTTTTTTTTTTGGAGTGAACTTTCAATATCATTTATAGTGCAGTTTCCATTTTTGGAAGCTTTTGTTGAGACTACTATGGTGTGACCAGCCATAAAATTATTTGTTTCCTTAGCACTTGAACTTGTATATCATTGTAATCAGATATCTGTAACTGTAATGGCATGACCATATACTTTTTGTAAATAGATCACGTATAACTCATAAAAGATACAGACCTCCAGGTCATGCTTTTTTTTAGGAGGAAAAAATGCTTAGTATAATGTCGCGTAAGTATAAAGCCGTAACGTTTTGTGGAAGAGAAAATGGAACAGCTGTTCAGATGGTTACATCTTGTAGTTCGATTTTCCACGTTTGGTATATACCAAACATTAGACTACGTTTTACAATCCTTGAAGTCAAGCACATTGACTAATCTCTTGCTTGAATAATTAGCAAACCTTCTTGTGAAACTCTAGTCTTAATGGTTATGAGAAATAGTGGTTGGTGGATTGACTATGCTAGCTACAGCTCTTCAGCTGCCCCAAAGGAATCTCTCTTTAAAATTTTTAAAAAATTAACAGTTGATTCTTTTTGGCCCATATTTTTAAATGACAATATTTTCTTAGAATATATGCAGCACTGTATTTTAATTTTTTTTTTATTTTGTTATGCTTGAAGCCAATGACATTGGAACAAGTTTTGTCAGATCAGGATAGTGAGGATGAGGTTGATGATGATGTTGCTGATTTTGAGGATCGAAGGGTATAACTCTCTCTCTCTCTCTCTCTCTCTCTCTCTCTCTCTCTCTCTCTCTCTCTCTCTCTCGTGCAATAGCATATTTTGCAATATGTTAGCAGTACAATACATTGACTTGGCACCTTGGTTTTGTGGGATTTTATATTGAAAGCATATGAATAAGTAATATTTTACTCTCTATTGTAGATGCTTGATGATTTCGTTGATGTGACTAAAGATGAGAAGCAAATGATGCATATGTGGAACTCCTTTGTGAGGAAGCAACAGTAATTTTCTCTCTTCATTTTGCTCATTTTTTTTATTTTTCCTTCTTTTGCTTTATAAGGTTCTTTATTTTTTTTTTGTTTAGCACCTTGTATACCATCATATTTGATAACATTGCAAGTTAGATCAAGAAATAAGATACATTCATACTAAGTCCACAGGATGAGATCCTAGAGTATTTACCTCTGAAATTATGGTATAATCATATGCCTTAAAGAACAGTCTCCTATGGTTTGAGGCATTCCCATTAAGTGCGTATAGAGCATCCATCATGAGCCAAGTCTATAAGAACACTGTATTTCGAGGAGTATGGTTGTGGCGCTTGTAGGGATGCTGCCCCACTGTATGCTAATTGGCTCAATGCAAGAAAGCGTTGATGCTAATTATGGTCAGGGAAGCTACATGAATCTTTTAAAATTCTCTCCATCTGGAGCCATAAAATTGGCTATCATATTGTATGTCACTAACTTGACTGATGTAATACTAAGTTGAAACCTAGTTTGGAATTGGATTAAAACGTTCATTTGTCTAGTGCATAATTACTAATTAGAATCTAATGCGTTTTAGAGGCTACATTTTAAAACTCAACATATAGTAGACAAGGATGTTGTTGGATATCATTGCACTTTTGGCAGGTTTCTTCTTTTGCAATAAATATTTCTCAATGATGAGCAAGCTCCAGATACAAAAAATAGGGGACAAGTTCATCTTCTTGTGTGTGGAACTACATTAGTTCTCTCTCGATTTTTTTTCTGAAATATTTTGTTTTAATGATGGCAGGGTGCTGGCTGATGGTCATATTCCTTGGTCGTGCGAGGCATTTTCGAGATTGCACGGACATGACCTTGTCAGAGCTCCGGCCCTGATATGGTAATGGTTGTGCTCATTTGATTGTCAGTTGTGGTCATGCATATCACTCGTGGTGAAGTCTGCCTTGATAATCTGGTAGTTAAATGTCATAAAGTGATGACCTAAATAAAGCCCCACTCATGGACTAAAAAAATTAAAATTAAAAATTAAAAAGCCCCATGCCTGATTTGGTGACTATCGAACATAGAAACTCCATTTTTTGTTGGTTATTCTTATTTGTTGCCGTTTGTAAAGTCTGGCATTTTGCATATTGATATTAGACCTTATCATGGCCCGGCCATGACTATTTAATATGATGGTGGCTGTATATTTTCCGGTAACAAGATCATGACACTTTGGCACAATTCTTTGGACCTAGGTTAAGTATTTAATTACTTTTCTTTCTTTGGCTTGAAGTTTAAGGACTTGACTTTCAAATATGAACAGTTGAAATGCATAATGAGTGAGAGTCAGTGACATCCTTATATCTGGTTTTTTTAATCTATAAATTGAGTTTGCCCTTGCTCCCTCCCTCACCTATTCAAACGTTTAGTAAAAATAATTGGAAAAACACCTAGTATGAATTGGACTGTTGCACATAATCGATGGATGATTGATGCTTTGAGTATGGCTATGATATACAGTTATGTGGCATGACATGCAAGGAAGATACTTTTTCTCAGTAAAAATGAGCTTATATCTATTTCAGTTAAATGGTGCCTGTGTATGCTTGTGTTAGAAGAAAATGTAATATTTATCATGCTTTGCTTTTGATGAGAATGTGTGAATCTCAAATGACAAATCACTTGTCAGGTGTTGGAGATTATTCATGATCAAATTGTGGAATCATGGTCTTCTTGATGCACGCAGCATGAACAACTGTAACATTATTCTTGAACAGTGTCAAGGCCAGGCTTCAGATCCGAAAAGTTAAAAGATTATTTTTTTCATTAGATTCAGGCGCCTTCTTACTAATGTGCTGATCTCAGTGCCTGCATTTTGTATTATGTGCCTATTTTCATGGTTGGGCCGAAAGCTTTTTCCATGCCCGTTGTCCTGCTGTGATGAGCTGTATCCTATTTTTTCCAAACGAATGCAGAACTGTACTATCCGTCTCTCCTAACCTGAGAAATATATGCAAGTAGAATTATTAGCAACAAAATTTCAATATGTTATCTGTGATGTAGTGTTCAGACTACTTTTCCTTCACTTTTGTGTAACTTAATTTGATTATTATTTGAATAAAGCTAACGAAATTGATAATAAGTGAGAATGGTAGTATAATACTATATTCTCTACTGACGTCTGTAATAAAACAAAATTAAGTTACATATGTAGTATTAAGAAAAATGGTCCAATAATGCACGCCACAATAATGGCAAGGAAAAAAAAGGTTATAAAACATGTTTTGATCATGCATTATATTGAATTTAGGTAAAGCCTCTGGCCAGTAGGTATGTCCTTGAAATTGGTCAGTCCATGCCCTTAAAAACTGATGTTTATCCATGTTGAAGATTCGTTTTCACTCCTTTTGGGATTTGTCACTCCAACAAACTCTTAAAGCTTATCTCTCGGGTGCTTCAAATTTCTATAAAAAAAAAAGGTAAAAAGACCGTGTGAGGCAGCATGCCGGCCACCTCTCAGACGCAGAGGCGGTGCTGTGATGCCGACGGCTTTTTACTAAACCACGGCTTTCTGAAAATTCACACATCAAATTGATTACTTCACTTCCAAAAATGATGCACCTCTTCCTTCTTCCTTCTATATTAGCTTTTGCTTGCCTTGCATGCCTAAAACTCCGCTCAATAAGATGTCACATTCTTTCTTCTTCTAGCTAAGATAAGATGGCCCCGTTGAGTGGAGATTATTAAACCTACCTAGTCCTTTCTGCGGCAACTATGAAAGCAAATATTTCTGGATTTGTGACAAGCAGTAAAAGGAATCATTCAAGTCTCTATCTCCACATCATCATCTATATATAAATCAATATAAATATGCAACATGCGTCACAGCCCACGCTGAACTCATTCCTCCTCCTTCTGGATAATTAAAAAGTTGCGTCTGTGATATGATTTAGCTCTTGTAATAGCAAGGCGGTGTAGGGTTTTGATGATCTACGAGGACAAAATTATAATTTAAAGTAGAAAGACCACAGGCTAAAGTTGTGCAATACTTAATAGAATATGTGTATAAATAATGAAGTATACTTGGAAACTTGGACCAGGAGTTCCGCAGTTCAATTTCACAACTTTATTTTCAGTGATTTCTAATTTTTTGTATAAAATCATGTGTGCATCAATTTCCCTCCCTTCAAACTAATTCTTCTATAGAAACCCTTCTCTCTTTTTCTCTTTTTCTCTCAAAAAAATCTCAAGCACAAGTTTTAGCACTGAGGGAAGTATCAATGGCCAGTTGGGTTGCAGTGCTAAGTGTTGTTTGGGTGAGCATGGTAATTGCATGGGCATGGAGGGTGCTGAATTGGGTGTGGTTGAGGCCAAAGAAACTAGAAAGAAGCTTGAGGGAGCAAGGCCTTACAGGCAATTCCTACAAGCTTTTGTTTGGAGACACCAAAGAGAGCTCAATGATGCTGGACCAAGCACAATCCAAACCCATCAAACTCTCCACCTCCCATGATATAGCGCCACGTGTCATGCCATTTGTCCATCAAACTGTGAACACTTACGGTATGCATGCCAAATACTTGTTTACATTCATTCCTATATCACCTGTCTACCTATCCACGTATGTATCTGTGTAATCTTTATAAGTTTTGACTTGGAAAGTTTTTTTTTCATTTTAAAAAACCAAAAAAATGTAGGTAAGAATTCTTTTGTTTGGATGGGTCCCATACCAAAGGTGAACATCATGAACCCTGAAGATTTGAAAGAAATCTTCAACAAAGATCAAAATTTTCGGAGGCCATCAGCAAACCCTATGATTGATTTGCTAGCACAAGGCCTTTTAGCCTTTGAAGATGGAAAATGGGCTAAACACAGAAAGATTATCCATCCAGCATTCCATTTAGAGAAGCTAAAGGTACTCGCCAACATTCATTTGTATTTCTAGAGATTTAATTAGCAATTATGTCCACTATTTATATAGATGTTGATAATTTTTTGTTTTTTTCCCTTGTTTGGTAAAGGGTATGTTACCAACATTTTACCAAAGCTGTAGCGAGATGATTAACGAGTGGGAGAGGTTGGTGTCCAAAGAAGGTTCATGTGAGTTGGATGTGTGGCCTTGTCTTCAAACTTTGTCCGCCGATATGATTTCTCGGGCTGCATTTGGAAGTAGCTATCAAGAGGGAAGGAAAATATTTCAGCTACTGAGAGAGCAAGAAAAATTTTACGCAACAGCCATCCAAAGTGTTTACATTCCAGGTTCAAGGTAAAATTAAATAATCTTTCATTTAAATTACTTTGACATTAAAGCACTTGTACATGTCTTCACAAAACCATTGATCTCGTTGTCTCGTACGGCTTTAACTTCGTGCAGGTTTCTACCAACCAAGCAGAACAAGAGGATGAAGAAAATATATGAAGAAATAAGTGTGCTGCTCAAGGGCATTATAAATAAAAGAGAAGAGGCAATGAAGTTGGGTGAAGCCAGTAAACATGACTTATTAGGTATACTTATGGAGTCCAACTTGAAGGAAATTCGAGAACATGGGAACCACAGAAACACTGGAATGAGTCTTGAAGATGTAATTGAGGAGTGTAAGCTGTTTTACTTGGCTGGCCAAGAGACCACTTCTGTGCTGCTTGTTTGGGCAATGGTTTTGCTAAGTCAAAACCAGAATTGGCAAGCTCGTGCAAGAGAAGAGGTCTCGCAAGTCTTTGAAAGCAACCCACCAACCTATGATACCCTAAGCCACCTAAAAGTTGTAAGTATCTTTACTTAAAATTAAAAATTAAAAAATAATTATATTCTCTTGCATAGTTTTAATTAGAAACCTTGACCATATAAAATGTCTCAGGTGACAATGGTTTTACTTGAAGTTCTTCGATTATACCCAGCAGCCGTTGAGCTTCTCCGAACCAGTCGTAAGAAAACACAGCTTGGAAAGTTCTCATTGCCGGCCGGAGTCGAGGTCTCCATACACATAATGCTTGCTCACCATGACAAAGAATTGTGGGGTGAAGATGCAGATGAGTTCAAGCCAGAGAGGTTTTCAGAAGGAGTTGCAAAGGCTACAAAGAACCAATTTGCATACTTCCCTTTTGGAGCAGGTCCACGGATTTGCATTGGACAAAACTTCGCTATGCTGGAAGCAAAATTGGCCTTGTCATTGATTTTGCAACACTTCACCTTTGAGCTTTCTCCATCCTATGCTCATGCTCCTTTGACATTAATAACCCTTCAACCTCAATATGGTGCTCATATAATTTTAAGTAAACGTTGATTAGTTCTGAATGGTATGTATTAAGGACATCACATGGCTTAGCTAGCCATATTAACATGTATATTTTATAATAATTCTAGTGAATTGTCCAAAATATATCTGCATTTCTGTCTTAAAAAATCACAGGTGATGCGTCAGCGTCTTTAATTTCATGCTCACAATGTCTTTAATTTCATGCTCATAGACAGCTGAATGTCAACAACATAATCTTCCATATGCACTTGTCCCATGCAAGCGGGAGCATTTGCTCCCACCACCTTTAAAGGATGACACTTGTAGTTAACTTTTATGTGAGAATAAAATTAAAAAATAAAAAATAAAAAAGAGCCCACATCTCGTTTCTCTCTTCGTTTATCCTTATTTCCCCTTCCTTTTATTTTATTTCTTTCCTCCTCTGTATCTGAAGCAAAGATGCTAAACCCAGATTCACTGTATCCTCCTGTAAAAAGCTAATAATAATAACATAAAACAATAGCAATATATAATAATAACGAAAAAAAAGAGAGAGAGAGAGAGAGAGAGAGAGAGAGAGAGAGAGAAGACCAATGAAAAGATGTCATCTTTTTGCCCAAGCTGGTGACTTTAATGCTCCAAACCCAACTCACACACTACAGTCTATATATATATATATATATATATATATAGATTAGTTGTTGTTGATGGGTTTTGTTGGAAATTGATTGGAATTAGGGTTGGTGGTGGTGATGATCTAGTAGAGAAGTGTGACTGAAAGTTTGGCGCTTTGAGGTTTTTGGGGATTTACTCTTTTTAATTTTGGAGGTAGTTGTTTGGTGGGAAGCCAATGCCATTGAAGAAGGCTCTGTGGTTTGATTTTTCAGGTTCCCAATTCTCAGTAGGAGACAAGTTCCGAATCTGGGTTTAGTATCTTTGAGAGAGAAGGGGCGGGGGAGGAGAAGGAAAGAAAAAAAATAAAAACAAAAAGAAAAGCAAGGGGAAAGGAGGAAAAACGGAGAAAGAAACGAGATGTGCATGTGGGTCCTTTTTAATTTTAATTTTTATTCTCACATTTAAGTTAACTAAGGTAAATCATGTGAGAAGTGTCACCTTTTAAGGGTGATGGTGAGCATACACATTCGATTAATGTGATGAGTAAAAATGCTCCCCATGCAAGTGAGAAAGTTTTTACTATGTAGTACTAACTGTGAATTACATGGAAATCTCAATTATACAAGTGTTATAAGTTAGATAAAATCTATAACTCTGTAGTCAATAATATTAAACTGAAAAATAAAAATAAATTTATAATATACTCTTATTATAACACGTAGATTAATAACACTATATGACAATATTCCGATTATACACTCCAATACCCGCTTCCATATTATTTTTTGTATTCGTTTGCGACTGTTTTAACTTTCTAATTAATATTTCAATTTTCTACTAGAAGAAAGAAAAAAAAAACTGTATGCCTTGGTAAGGAGAGATTCTTCGGTGGCCTCAGTTTTGCTAATCCACAGCTTTCTACATCAAACTCGTCACTAGTCTTCCAGAAATGGTCTTATCTTTTCATTATTACTATATTTTGCATAGTTAACTTAAAAACGTCACCAAATACGGCACCTAGTGACTAGCAAGTGGAGATTATCACACGTCTCAACTTCATCCAATGTAAAAGCAAAATATTTGTGGAATATGATGACAGAAATCACTTAACTTCAATAACCATTAGTGTCGGACAATTTCGACATAAACTAGTACATTAAAGTAACAATAAAAAATTACTCACACGCGCGTCAGTAACTCAATTTAATAAAATTTCAATGTAATGTGGCATCATGTAGAACACAACATATAAAGACACATGCATCATGCGTCATAGCCTTGCATAAATTAAAGGATTGCGTCTGGGATATGATTCAGCACTTACTATAGCAAGGCGGTGAAGGGTTGATTGACATGGACAAAAGTTATGCCATTGTATGAACTTTGGAGAGGAGTTTCATAATTAAATGTAACCCATTATTTATTTAAAGCCTTGCATCAATTCCTCCTTTCAAACAAGTTCTCTTCAGTAGAACCCATCTCTCTCTTTCTCTCACAAATCTCACACACAAATTAAGTATACTGATGGAAGCCTCTAGGCCTAGTTGTGTTGCACTAAGTGTTGTATTGGTTAGCATAGTAATCGCATGGGCATGGAGGGTGCTGAATTGGGTGTGGTTGAGGCCAAATAAATTAGAAAGATGCTTGAGAGAGCAAGGCCTCACAGGCAATTCTTACAGGCTTTTGTTCGGAGACACCAAGGAGATCTCAATGATGGTGGAACAAGCACAATCCAAACCCATCAAACTCTCCACTACCCATGATATAGCGCCACGTGTCATCCCATTTTCCCATCAAATTGTGTACACATATGGTATTGCCAAATACTTGTTTAAATTCCTGGCTGTCACCAATTTATATGCATGCGTAATGTTCTTTATATGTAAGTTTTGTGACCTGGATAGCTTTAAAAAAAAAAAAAAAAAATTTGCAGGTAGGAATTCTTTTGTTTGGATGGGTCCCACACCAAGGGTGACCATCATGAATCCAGAAGATTTGAAAGATGCCTTCAACAAATCTGATGAATTTCAGAGGGCAATATCAAACCCTATTGTCAAGTCGATATCACAAGGCCTTTCAAGCCTTGAAGGTGAGAAATGGGCTAAACACAGAAAGATTATCAATCCAGCATTCCATTTAGAGAAGCTAAAGGTATTGTATACTCTCGCCAACTTTTCATTTATATTTCTGGAGGTTTTGTGTCCACTATCTTTCGTTTTATCTTGATAACTTTTGGTGTTTCTGTTTTAATTGCTCCTTGCTTGCTATAGGGTATGTTACCAACATTTTACCAAAGTTGTAGCGAGATGATTAACAAGTGGGAGAGCTTGGTGTTCAAAGAGGGTTCACGTGAGATGGATGTGTGGCCTTATCTTGAAAATTTAACCAGCGACGTGATTTCTCGAGCTGCATTTGGAAGTAGCTACGAAGAGGGAAGGAAAATATTTCAACTACTCAGAGAGGAAGCAAAATTTTATACAATCGCCGCACGAAGTGTTTACATTCCAGGGTGGAGGTAAGAGACTAAATGTAAAAGTATTGAATCTTGATATTCATCATAGAAACACTATCCATATTAATCTTGCATGAAAGAAGTACTTGTACTTCTTCATGTCTTCACAAAACCATTGAAGTGCTGCCTTTTTTGTGTGCAGGTTTCTACCAACTAAGCAGAACAAGAGGATGAAGGAAATTCACAAGGAAGTCAGAGGCTTACTGAAGGGTATTATAAATAAAAGAGAAGACGCGATTAAGGCAGGTGAAGCCGCTAAAGGTAACTTATTAGGTATACTTATGGAGTCCAACTTCAGGGAAATTCAGGAACATGGGAACAACAAAAACGCTGGAATGAGTATTGAAGATGTAATTGGAGAGTGTAAGTTGTTTTACTTTGCTGGGCAAGAGACCACTTCTGTGCTGCTTGTTTGGACATTGGTTTTACTAAGCCAAAATCAGGATTGGCAAGCTCGTGCAAGAGAAGAGGTCTTGCAAGTTTTTGGAACCAACATCCCAACCTATGATCAGCTCAGTCACCTAAAAGTTGTAAGTACACAACTTTTAATTTGAAAGTTTTCTATCGATTACGTAAAACGACAAAAATTAATCAAACATTTGACATGTTAGCTCTTTCAGGCCTAATTAAACTTTTGAATGTCATCAAACAACTCATTTTGTTGGATTAGTGATCACTTGATGCTTTATGATGCCCCAGGTGACCATGATTTTACTTGAAGTTCTTCGATTATACCCAGCAGTTGTTGAGCTCCCACGAACTACTTACAAGAAAACACAGCTTGGAAAGTTCTTATTGCCGGCCGGAGTCGAAGTCTCCTTACACATAATGCTTGCTCACCATGATAAAGAATTGTGGGGTGAGGATGCAAAGGAGTTTAAGCCAGAGAGGTTTTCAGAAGGAGTTTCAAAGGCAACAAAGAACCAGTTTACATACTTCCCTTTCGGAGCTGGTCCACGGATTTGCATTGGACAGAACTTTGCTATGCTGGAAGCTAAATTGGCCTTGTCATTGATTCTACAACACTTTACCTTTGAGCTCTCTCCATCCTATGCTCATGCTCCGTCCGTAACTATAACCCTTCATCCACAATTTGGTGCTCATTTCATTTTACACAAACGTTGATTAGTGCTGAAGTATATCGATTGTTGGCAAAAAGTTTAATGATGAAGACACACCAAATAAAGATAGCCATAGTTTGAGCCATGTATATTTTCTCATAATTGTCGTTACTTGTAGCGAATGCACGAGATGAGTTTGTAAGAAAGAAAGAATTTGACTGATGGAAGGTTATGCGTCAGCTTCACTTTGCCACTATATTCGATCGATCTACTAACAGTGGCTTGCACATTATTAATATTTAAATAGTGAACCTGCAAACCACAATTCACTAGTGTAGTGGTTTGGAGTAATTATTCATCCATAAAAGTTTATGGGTTCGAGTCTTAGCATTTGTGTAGTGTGCGTGAGTTTAGTAATGCTGTCACCCCCTTCAATATTACCTTAAGTGTTATAAAACTAAGATAATTATGGAGATAGAAATGTTCTTCTGATATTTTCATTGAGCCTTGCTCTCTCAATTACAAATGAGAATGAAGCCATGTTTGTAGGCAAAGCCTTAGCTAACAATTAGGTAAAAAGAAAGCTTCTGGAAGTTGTACCAATTTACTCATGTTATAAGCATATGTATTTTTATTAATTATTTTAAATGAGATAGTATAAATTAATCATTTAACCTCGTTACAATTAACACGTGTATCGGGTTTAATTTCAATCATACACTCTCCCACACTCGGTTATTATTTTATGTCAACTATTAATGTTTCAATTTTCTACTAAGAAGAAGGGACCACGGCTTTCTAAAGAGGTCACACTCCAAACTCATTACTTTTCTTCTAGAAACGGTCTCTTTTCGTTATCTACGCCACCAAATATCCCACGTTATTTCTAGAAGCTAGAATAAGATAGGCCTAGTAGCGACTCGAGATAAGATGCGCCAACTTCATCCAATGTGAAAGCAAAATATTTTTGAATTGTGAAA